AATACGACTTAAAGTTCAGTTGCATTCCCAGGAGATAACAACTACGTCGCCGATGCCCTGTCTAGGCTTCAGGACGACGAGGACCATGATCGGGGCCTCGATGCTATGCGCATCGGTCATCGACCGTTTGCAGTCCACTTCGCCGAGGTCAGCCAGAACCTATTCCAGCTACCGTCACGTAACGAGGTCCTTGTGAAGGACGACGACATCCCCGTGGATGAGTTGCAAAACCTCGAGAGAAGACGGCCTAAGAGCGAACACCGTAAGACCAAAGACCCGACTTGACTTAGGTCTAAGCTCACAGCCAACGCGAACACTTAGGTCACCCTAGCTCAGCCGGCACAGAGACCCGGACAGCATAAGCTGGGAGAGATGTTAGTTATGATGGCTCATGCTGTTGGGTTCCAGCCCGTGACTACCAATGTGAAAAGGCTCGATCATTTTCACCTCCCGCATGCAGGTCTCGTTGGCGGCTTTTTTCTTGGTGTGGTTTGCATCCAGCGTTTGCCTCCAGCATTCTGTAAAGGATGCGCCGACGATGCGTATACACATCCGCTGGTCTTAGTTTGCAACCGCGTCCCAGCAAACGAATGCACCCCCTCTGGGGAGGGCACATGCCTCAAGGAAACCAACAAGGTGTACGACAATAGTTCTTTCCTTGCAGGTCTCCAACGGGGCGGTCTCCAACGGGGCGGTCTCGGACGGGGCGGTCTCGAACGGAACGATGCTACAGACATTGAACGGGCTCTTTGGTTGACTGCTCAGCCAGGAGACGTCGTTAAATCTGAGCCGGGTGTTGCTCTCCATCGGAAGACATCTCTTCTCAGGGTCTCCTTTATGTGTCATGCATATACGGCCACCTTCCACACACCAGGCCTGTTCCACGCCAGCTTCGTCGACACAGGGCAAGAACTTCGGTAAGGCCGTAGTACTGCCTGAGCACGCACCATCGTGGCCGGAAGCGGCATAAAAGGCCAAGCAGCACCCAAACAGTACACTTCCCGATAGCGCCAGTTTCACTCGGAATGAGCACTGATTAAATGCATCGCTTACGGCGTCGAGATTCAACCTCCATGAGCTGACCACCGACCTTTGCGTCCCCTCCCACCAGTCTTCTGGCACTTTCGGCAATAGGTGCTCCAGATCTTTCCTCTTTAACTTTCTCGTAGACACTTGCAACTCGTTGTCACCCGTATCCTCAGCAACGCCCTGGTGACCATCGTCGCCTGTGTCGGACTCAGTCTCGGACGACACCTACCAAAAGCATCCACCCAAATCTGATGTCTGGTCTCCGTGTCCACGACCTCCTCATCCAGGAACCTCTTCAGGCTGTTACGCACAACAGACTGGGTGTACCCAGCGGCTTGCTCGGGGACGTTGAGAACCTTGAGTCTGCTTATGCTTTCGAACACGAGCTTGCACTGGTCCAGATTGAGGCGGCTTCGAGGTTGGCATCGAGCTCCTGGAGTTCGACCTCCAACCCTAATGCCACCGCGTGCACTTGGCTCTCGCCCTTCACAGCAAAGGTCAAGAACCTAGCGCTCGTCTGGTCGTCAAGCTCGGGTTGGAGGCCCTCGCTGGTTACTAGCGCCGCCAACAACTCCGGTCCCCCCACTGACTGCACCGCCATAAACGCCCTCATTAATAAGTGGCGGAAAAAATTTCGGACGATGGATACGTTTGTGGAAGGGGGTAAGAGTCTGTGACCATGGCCGCGTTGAGCCTGCGGTAGTCGATGACGCACCCCCATTCCCGGGCAGCCCGCTCGCTCTTGGATGGTCGGATGACTCCAGTTGCTTCGCGGCCTGCTTCTTCAACTCCTCCAGCATTTCGGGTTCGTAGGGGCGGACCCCGGCCTTGTGGGGGTTTTCTGCTACATCGAACCGTGCTTCGTCCTTGACCTGGGCCACCCGGGGTATTCCCATGTATCCTTGAACTCCTCGAGGAGCTCCCACAGCCGCTCCCCATGCTCGCCGTCCATGTGCTGCGTGTTTTTCTCAAAGAGCCGTCTCCACTGCGAGTGTCGCAGCCCCCTTTGGTGGGTCCAAGGGCGGGGTCGGGCCTACCGTCCAGGTCGGGTGTGCCCAGTAGGTTGAGGGGCAGGGTGCCAGACCCTAGTACCGTGTCCATTCTCATGCTTTGCCCTAAGAACGGCACTACTCTCTCTCTGTCGCGCTCTCCAAGTAGACTGACTTCGGTCCCGGTATCTATGAAGAACTGCGAGCCTCACGTAGTTGTTGGTTGAGGAGTTGTCGGAAGTTTCCAGGCTGCAGTAACCCCCGTCTATTGACGTGGAATTCTTCAACAAGTAAATTCTTAGTAAAAAAATGGGGCAGCAGGTCGATCAATGTGGTCAAAAGGTCCGTACTCACAGCATCTGGTCGACGTTGTACAGCGGCCAGTTAGTATTCGTACAACCATCGGATTCCGGCTGGGCAGTTATGATTCAGGTTGCAGTACATCAAATCTGGGTAAAGCGTCGACAGCGCAGACCGCACTTCTCCAAAGGATGCGCCGGCGTCGTCACCGTAGGTGAAACACTTGTGTTCGTTCTTGATTGTAACTGGGTCCCACAAGCGGCAAACGAATGCACCTCCTTTGGGGATGGAACATTCTTCAGAGAACGTCAAAGGGTGGCCATTGGAGGACATTTCTCTTCCGATACAGGTCTTCAAGGGGACTTCAACTTTTGACAACAAACTCGGCAAAGTCGTCTCTTCCTTAGTTACCTCACAGCCACCACTCACCTGGCAAACATTAAAAGTACTCTCTGGACGTTGGTACCGGCGGAGGCTTTTGAAAGATAGGGGGGACGAACTCCACACAGCTGCACACTTCTTACCCGGATCTGCCTTGTCCGTAATGCACACAAGCGTACCGTCGACACACACGGCCCGGTCAAAGAAAGTTTCGTCGACACAAGGCGGAATTGGGTTCGTGGTCTCACATTCGTCGTTGCCTGCGCGGCAAACGTTCCACGCCCAGTAGATATGTGAATCCATCATTTCTTTAAATTCAGACGGATGAATCTGATGACAGCGCTGGACAAAGTCTGAGGCATGCGACACACACAGAGGAACACCTTTGGCACACACGGCCCCCTTCACATCGGCTCCACTGTCACAGGGTTGCACACTACTCGGTTCCTTCAATGCGCCAATGATTCCACACCCGCCTTTCGCGCGACAAACATTGTACCCCTTGGAAGTTAGACTCTGAGGGACCTTAAATTGCCCTTCGAGATCCAGACAGGTCTGAGGCTCGTCCAGAGCATGACCACTTCCCGACGTCGCGCAATAAGGCACACCCTCGATACACGTGCCCCCCTTAGTTTCTCCAACACAAGGCAAATCTTCACATCCAATGTTCGTAACGCGGCAAACGTCCACTGAGTTTGATTCGATCCACTCTGGCAATCGGGACGGTTCAATCCGATGGCAGGTTTTGCTGGCATCATTGGCCAGCGTGAAACACAAAGGGGTACCTTGGACACACGTGACCTCTTCCAGATCAGTTTTATTTTCGCACGGGCTCACGGTACTCGGTTCCTTCAGTGCGCCAATGATTCCACACCCGCCTTTCGCGCGGCAAACGTTAAATCCCCTGGAGGTCAGACTCCCGAGCGCTGTTAGATCTAACCCAGTTCTTAGGTCTACACAGGCATTCTCAGGAACGCCCAACTCCAAAGCAAGCTCACTTTCCGCCGTCGCGCAATAAGGGACACCCTCGATACAGACGGCCTTCTCCAACCGGGTCTCATTGACACACGGCAAGATCGGAGCCGGCTCCGGAGTAGTACTTGCCGTGAAACTCGTCTTCGGGCTTGCCTTGGGGCTCGTCTTTGAGTCAGCGACTTCACATCTGCCGCTCGCGCGACAAACGTCCAAATACGATGGTATGCGATCCAACTTACTAAGCTCCAGCGGGACAGTGTAGTTAAACTGCTGACAGGCCTTCTGAGGGTCAACTTTCATCATCAGGCATAAAGGGACCCCTTCGACACACGTGACATTATCCAAACGGGTTGAATTGACACAGGGTAAGATCGGAGCCGGCTCCCGCGTTGTACGTGTCGTGAAGCGCGTCGCGGGCGGGCTTTTCGTCCCCGGCTTTGCGTCAGCCACTTCACATGTGCCCCCCATGCGGCAAACGTCGTACGTCGCACTCCTGTCTATCTCACTCAACTTATCAAAACCGAGTCGGGACTTCAGTGGCAAACACCCTCTCTTAGGCATTAATCTCGACGTCATGCAATACGGGATACCTTCTACACACAACGCCCCTTCCGGGTGGGTCACATTGCCACAGGGCAAGATCGCGTGCGGCTCCCGCGTTGTAAGTGTCGTGAAGTGCGTCGCGGGCGGGCTGTTCGTCTCCGGCTTTGTGTCAGCGACTTCACATCTGCCGCTCGCCCGACAAACGTCGAAGGTCGCAGTCCTGGCTATTTCACTCAACTTACCAAATCCGATATCGGATGGGAGCGGCAAGCAGCCCCTCTCAGGCTTTAATCTCGCCGTCATGCAATACGGGATACCTTCTACACAGAAGGTCCCTTCCAACTGGGTCTCATTAGCACAGGGCAAGATCTTCGCGTAATTCTCCAAGTCCGTGGAGCCATTGTCCGAGGGCGCACCACCGACGCCGGGAGGAAAGAAGTTAAAGTAGCACCCCGCCAACGCAAACAGCGCACCGCCTGCAACCGCCATTTTCGTTTGCAGTGGGTACTTGTTGAAAGCATCGCGTGCAACCTCGAGGCCCAAGCAGTCTGTCCACGAGCTGACCGCCGACCTTTTCATCCCCTCCCTCCAGTCTTGTTGGACTTTCGGCAACAGACGCGGCAGTTCTCTCCGCTTTAGCTTTCTCGTAAACACCCGTAACTGATCGTTGCCCGTATCCTCAGGAACGCCTATGTGCCCATCGTCCCCCGTGTCCTCAGTGTCGGATTGACACTTACCGAAAGCATCCACCCAAATCTGATGTCTGGTCTCGGTCCCCACGGCTTCCTCATCCAGGAACCTCCTCACGCTGTTACGCACAGCAGACTGGGTGTACGGAGCGGTTTGCTCAGGGACATGGAAAACCTGGAGTCGGCTTATGCTTTTGAACACGAGCTTGCATTGGTCCAGGCCTGACACGTGTCCAATGCTGAGCTTGGCATCGAGCTCCTGGAGTTCGACCTCCGACCCTAATGCTACCGCGTGCACTTGGCCCTCGCCCTTCAACTCAAAGGTCAAGAACCTAGCGCTCGTCTGGTCGTCAAGCTCTGACTGAATCCCCTCGCTGGTTACTAATGCCGCCAATAACTCCGCTCCCCCCACTGACTTCACAGCCGTAGATGTCCTCATCAAATCAAAGCCTCGATTAAATTTCGGCGGACGAAAATTTCTAAAATACAAAACGGCTCACACGCGAACGGCCTTGCTTTCGGGCTGAATGGTGGACGTCGTGGGCCAATAGGCGGTGGTCGGAAGGATCGCGGACCGTCTCACCTATTCTTGACGGAGTTTCTGGTAACGCACATTGATGGTATGCAAGTGTGCTTTTCCGATTAAGTCGGCCGGTGTGCGATTAAGTCTTGCCAGGACAGAGAAAGTCAAGCGCCGTGTAGTGCGTGAGCTAAACCGGAGGTCGTTACGGGGTGAGATATGCTGTAAGCCCCGCTGTCAACTTCTGGTAGCTGGGGCAGGGGTTTTCTCCAGTGCCCTAATCCTATCGGGATGGACACTCACTTGTCCCCCCCCTGATTATGCTTTTAGGAACAGCCTTATCAACAGAGCCGAGCACAACCTTATCCTCAGCCAACCCATACGATCTCAATTTTCTCAACACAGCTTCCACGTCGACCCAATGAGCCTCTCTAGAATGCGTCGCGATAATAATATCGCCGAGGTAATCGATGACAGCTCCCGAACGAATCTCCTCTGCCAACACATGCTCCATAATCCGCTGAAACTGACCTGGAGAACAGCGATGTCCTTGTGGCAACACATTCCACTCAAATGTGCCCACCCCACTCACCACGAAACCTGTGTGTTTCCTACTGTCCTCAGCCAACGGTATGTTGCAGAAACCGTTTCGGAGGTCCAACTTACTGTAGACGGTCCGCCCTCCCAGGGACTGCCGTATCGCACGTGGCGGACAACAAGAAGCCAACTGCTCCTTCCATGACACGAAAAGTGACGCGTCGAACCACCCCACCCGCATAGGTAGCGCTGCCCACTCCGCGCAGTGCTGACACCCACTAACCGTTCTGTCCTCATCTACCCACCCCGGTATAAAGGAGATCGACCCACCGAACAGCGACAGCAACCACCGTCTAGAATCAATGGTGTCTCCTTCCACGAAGACGCCGTGCGCACCTTCCCCACCACCTTCAGAACCCCCCGTTCCCCAATGGTAGGACAAACGGCGCATACCATGTCCATGTCCTCCATCCCAGCTTGTCATTGCGGCGGAGGCACCATTAGCTTGTTGGCGGTTTCAGGAGATGCTGGGTTAACGCCGCGTTACCCAACTCCAATTTGTCTCTTTGATTAAGCTGATTATGGACGTTAACCACCGGACCCCGCTTTGCCAACGAAATGGAAGTCGACAGCTTCGGGCGTGGGTCTGGGACGTGTTACGCTTGACATACTCGCGCAATGTGACCCTTTCTTCGGCACAGATTGTACTTCACGTACCTCAGCCGGCAATTGGCCCTCTCGTCTAATCAGCGCCACAGGAAGCGCATTTCCCTTGCAAATTGACAGGTGGAGGAAGCACGGGAGCCACCGGCTCGTCAATCGCATCCATACGAGAGTGGGTTAACAAGGTCATTCTTTGTACCAGCTGCGGCAGCGAAAGGTCCCAACGATCCACCTGCCCCTCCAGCAATGACAAAATCCGTGAAGGCCATCATCATTTGGTCCACCAACTCCTCGTAAGTTTCCAACATGGTTTCCAAAGCGCCTTCCAGTCTGAGATCCATCAAGCGATCTCAGGTCTGGTAAAAATACGGGGGCGGCAGCCATCTTGCCCGAATGAGTTGGGCAAAGCAGCGCCTCGAGTGCGGTGCCGGTAACAAACCGATCCAGATGGCTTGCATCTGCGTGGGCAAACAACTGACGACCACAGCTTGGAATTGATGGAATTCAATGCAACGTCCAATTAGCTGCTTGCACAGCCCAGTGTGGTATTCAGTCAGGCTCTGTGGAGTGATACTGTGGAGACTGAGCAGGCGGAGCGTCTTCTTTCATTTTGGCAGGGAGTCGTGTGTGCTTCCTGCCGTCAACCGAACGCAATGGTCCGATGCCCAAAGATGCGCTCCCTCCTCCAGGTGCAAGCCCTCTTCGGTTAATTCCGGACGCGCATTGCCCGTCAGCACTCCCTTAGATTGTGTAGTCCAATTGTGTCATCCAATTGTTCAGGTCGTCCACCGTTAATTTATTCTCCTGGTTAAATGGATGACTGCAGTCATGAGGGAGCGTCGGAGTTTTTTAGTGCGCGCGTGTGTGCGCACACACTTTTGTTTGCGTGGCCTCCGAAAAACAACCAAATATGTGGCCGCATCCCTGACGGCACATTCGCTCCGAAGATTAATTATATAAAAATTTTAATATTATATAAATTAAATATTATTAATAATAATTTAATTATCCAAATAATGACATCCACCTTCCCCACGGCAAAGTTCCCACTTGCTACCCGGCATTTGGAACCACCCTAGGTCTCCAAGTTTGAGCCTGTAGTTACTGTTCACCGTCCAGCACTCATCATCTCCCTTCTCCGACACGCAGAAAGGTAGACCTTCGACACACACGGCGCGTTCCAAATGGGTTCTATCCACACAAGTCGACACCTTGCTCCACCGCGTCTTCCTGGGCACGATGCCCAGGAGCGCACTGTCCACCTTCGGAAAGATCTTCGGCTCCGTCGTTTCGCTAGGAGTTGGGTTAGTCCTTCTCGTCTTGATGTCAGGCTCTTCACATCGGCCATAACCTTGGCAAACGTTCAGTGAATAGAATGGTAGTGCATCCATCGCTTGAAGGTCGGACGAGGAGCGGAACGGCCAACATGACTTTTCTGGGTCGTTCACCAACGTCACGCAAAAAGGCACACCTCCAACGCAAACGGACCGATCCAAGTGGGTTTCCTCAAAACAGGGCAAGACCGCGCCTGGCTGGTTTATTACGTCAAGGACTCCACATCCGGTCTTCGCGCGGCAAGCCGTCAACCCTCTAGACTCCAATCGACCCAAATCTAGAAGTCGGAGCGGGGGGTCGAACTGGAACGGCGAACACGTCTTCTCAGAATCTTCATTCGAAGTCAGGCAAATAGGGACGCGTTCGACACACAGAACTTGGTCCAAGCGAGTCTCATTCACACAGGGCAAGATATTCTTCCCCGCAACGCTCTTAGTGTCTCCACGGACTTGGTGTCCACACTCGCCACTCAACCGGCACACCTTCATCATCGTAGAGGATGCTAGTTCACCCAACTTATCAATTCCAATCTCCGAGACGAAGTGCATCGGCAAGCAACCCAACTCAGGGCGTTGTCTGTGCGACACGCAAAGCGGTACTCCATTCACACACACAGCCCGTTCCAAGTCGGCCTCATTGACACAAGGCGAGAACTTCTCTAAAACTCTGGAGGTGCTGCTTGGGGACGCACCACTGATGCGGGTGGGAAGAATGTCAGCCACTTCACATCTGCCGCTCGCCCGACAAACGTCGAAGGTCGCAGTCCTGGCTATCTCACTCAACTTACCAAATCCGATCTCGGATGGGAGCGGCAAGCAGCCCCTCTCAGGCTTTAATCTCGCCGTCATGCAATACGGGATACCTTCTACACACAAGGTCCTTTCCAACTGGGTCTCATTAGCACAGGGCAAGATCTTCGCGTAATTCTCCAAGTCCGTCGAGTCATTGCCCGAGGGCGCACCACTGGCGCCGGGAGGAAAGAAGTTAAAGTAGCAACCCGCCGCCGCCAACAGCGCACCGCCTGCAACCGCCAATTTCGTTTGCAGTGGGTACCGGTTGAAAGCATCGCGTGCAACCTCGAGGCCCAAGCAGTCTGTCCACGAGCTGACCGCCGACCTTTTCATCCCCTCCCTCCAGTCTTGTTGCACTTTGGGCAAGAGACGCGGCAGCTCTTTCCGATTTAGCTTTCTCGTAAACACCTGTAGCTCATGGGCGCCGGTGTCCTCAGCAACGCCCGTGTGCCTATCGTCGCCCGTGTGCTCAGTCTCGAATTGACACTTGCCGAAAGCATCCACCCAAATCTGGCGTCTGGTCTCCGTCTCCCCGGTCTTCTCATCTAAGAACTTCTTCAGGCTGCTGCGAACAACAGAGTGGGGAGTGGTTTGCTCCGGCACGTTGAAAACCTTGAGTCTGCTTATGCTTTCGAACACGAGCTTGCACTGGTTCAGTTCTGAGGCTTCGAGCTTGGCATCGAGCTCCTGGAGTTCGACCTCCGACCCTAATGCCACCGCGTGCACTTGGCCCTCGCCCTTCACATCAAAGGTCAAGAACCTAGCACTCGTCTGGTCGTCAAGTTCTGGTTGGAGCCCGTCGCTGGTTACGAGTGCCGCCAACAACTCCGCTCCCCCCACTGGCTGAACAGCCGTAAATGTCCTCATCAAAGCTGTGAGAAAAAAAACTTCGGCCGATTCCGAAAATACAAAACGTGGAGCAGAACGACCTCACAGCTTGAGTGGTTCAATATTGTGTGGTTGTCAATTGGATTCACAAAAGCCTGTGCTCACGTTACGTCTCAAACTCTGAGCTGTCAAGACAAGTCCAGGTGCGGTCTTCGATGGAGTGGGCTCGGTATCGATACCACGCACAGCACTGACCATACAGGTCGCTAGATAAACGGCCCCATCGCTCCTTGATGGCTCGGAAGGCTTCCTCTGGGAGGACGTGCACATGCTGTACATCACCGAGCATCCTAACACGGACGTTGCCTGACCAGATTTGGATGGAGTCGACAATGTTCCAAGATCCTCATACTTGATGGCGGAGCCACATGTCGTAGCAACCCTTTCACGTAGATAGCCTCGAGACCTCGCACCTTGGGAGAAAGACCGCCACAAAACAAAGATGTGGTAAGGTCAGAATGGCGAGGCCAGCTGGAGAAGACAGACTCTCCACTCCACTATCGGGATGCGCTCGGAAGTACGTAGTGGAGCGTGCGAGGTGTTGTGCCAAGAGATACTACCAGCCTGCACTGCATCTTGTGGCACTACACTGTAATGCAGGCTGGTAGCAGCACGAGGCTATGCGAGAGGCAGGTGAAGGTGACAGTAGTTCGCCGGTGAAGCCAGACATATGACGACTGGCCCGCGGTTGGTGACAGTGGTTTGTCGAACGATCAGCAGTGGAGCTTCAACTCTTTTGTGGGTAAGCGGCCCAAGAGGCCGCGTGTGCGCCACACACACCGGCCGTGATTTGCAATGATATTTCGGCGAGACACAGTAAAAGGACAGGGTGCACTTATTGTTTTGGACAGAGGATCCTCACCTGGTGCGTCGAGACGTAACAGCTCAACGACGGGCCGGCAACGGGGTTTTTGATATAAGGGAGACAGAGGGCAACGTGGCGGCGCACGGCCCCGACGCGATACCCCTATTCCGCGACTCAGACGACGAGCTCAGCATTAGCAGGCCGTCCCCCAGCACCCACCAAGACACACCAATGGCGATCGCTACTGGATGGGTTGCTGCGGACGTGGGCTTCATCGAGGAATCGCGGTTTGCGAACACGAGAGTCATCGCAAAACAGTCTGCAAAGGATGACTGGATCGCCAAGGTCACCGCCGATGAGAATCCACAATAAAAAACACTTCGAAGACTGAGTCGACGAAGTGGTGGGCCTGGTCAACCGCGCGACCCACAAAATCGACGAAGAAAGTATGATAGAGGTGCTTTGGGCGCAAATACCTCCCGCGAAGCGACAGCGCCTCGCAAGGATAGACCGGGGTCCCGGCATACCAGTGGAACAGTTCATTTCGGACGT